AAATAGTGTAGATTTTAAATACGTTGCTAGTGGCAATTTCGTAATTAATCTGAAAAATCTGGCAACCTAATTCTTAGTAAAATGACCCTAAAATTCTTATACGATGTCCAAATTCGATCATTCTTTTTGTTAGAGGTCCGTAATTACAATACGGATCTAATGCTTTAATCAAAAAAAGAAATCAAAGCTCAATATGGTACTATTTATGCTGGAAGAAACGACGTCGAAACATAAGAAAAACGAGCGCAACACAACCCAAACCTATCCGAAACTCACCCGAGGCCTTCGGGACCTCAACCAATAATTCTAACAAGTCATATATCACTACCCGAACTTAGTCAAACCTCCAGAACAACAAAAAAAAACACATAAACACCAAATCAACCTCGGATTCAAGCCTAAGAACTTCTAAACTTCCAAAATTCGCCAACGACACCAAAACCTATCAAACCATGTTTGAATGACCTCAAATTTTTCACACACATCACAAATAACACAACGAACCTACTCCAACTTTCGGAATTCCATTTCGACCCCGATACCTAATTTTCCACGATCGACCAAAATTGCAAAATTTCTAACTTTCGCCAATTCAAGCCTAATTACCATTGACCTCCAAATACATTTCGGATACACTTCTAAGTCTAAAATCACCCAACGAAGCTAATCGAATCATAAACATCCAAATCTGAATTCGTCTACTTATAAGTCAGCTTTTGGTTGACTTTTCTAACCTAGCTTTCTAACTAAGAGACTAAGTATTCATTTCACTCCAAAACTACTCCGAACCCAAACCAACCAACTCAATACAACTCAGCATAGCTGAACAACAAGCATATGGGGAAAATGGGGCTATAACTCTCAGAGCGAACGACCAGGTCACTACAAAGACATAGAAATCTTCAGAGAAATTATATAATTACATTGAATACAGTTAAATATATAAAAATACATTGAATACATGAAGTATAGCAGATCATCTATAGTGCAAAAAATATATGAATACATACTATAGATACATTTGAATACATAAATTATATTAATTAAAAAAAACATATGAATACATTCATGGAATATAGCGAGACAGTGAATACAATGAAATACAACTAAAAATGACAATGAATACAATGAAATACATAGAATACAATGAGATACATTGAAATACAATGGAAAAAAGGTAACAGGCTCTTTAAGTTGCTCAGCCCTAAACTCCGTTTGTTCAAGAACAACCCTAATGTCGTCTCGTCAAGAGGACCGCAATTCTGACTCGAAACTCTCAAATTTTGGCGCAAAAATGAAAGAAATTCCTTATTTTCAATAGCAGATTGTCTTTTTTGTTAGTAATGCCGAATTTGGTAGATGAAGAAAAGCAGCAATGGAGGTGGTGAGAGGCAAGAGTTACAATGGCCATGTCCAGATTTCATTGTAAAGCAACGACCATCAAGAATGGGGTGGATCTTTCTCTCTAGGGCTTGATTTCGATATTGATTCAGAGCCCCAGCCCACTGATAATGAAAATTTCGCGAGGCAATGGAGATGAATCGGTGGAGAATAGTAGTTGCATTCATGGAGAAAGACTGGCATTGAGAGAGAGAGATGATGGAGAAAAATCTGAAAGAATGAGAGCTCAAAATAATACAAAGAGTATTTTATGGCTTAAGGGTAGGAGGTAACCATAAATAGATATTTGGCTATAAAAATCAAAAGGTAGCTATGGAATATAATTTTTTAAAAGGGTATTTATTTAAAATAAATAAGATATCAACCTTTACTGTAGGAGCTAAAAATTTCTTGTTTAATACAAATTGGCTAGATTTCAATGGGCTATATATATTTTAGTACTGGAATGTAAGAAAGGCGGCGAGAGAGGTGTTAGGGATATCTACGGGCCACTATGGTGGACACAAAGGAGATTGGTGATGGAATGCAGTTGTCCAAGGTAAAGTGGAAGCAAAGAAGGCAGCTTACCTAATGTTAGTAGGGAGCACTGTCGAGGAGGAGAAGAGAGAGAACAGTCAAAGGTATAAGGTAGCTAGGAAGGAGGCGAAGATGGCAGTGACGGAGGCTAA